TTAACCTTCTATATTTAACATTGTATTGCATATTATGTTTGCAATAAGGAAGAAAAAAAAAACAACTTTTCAAAAGTTATCATTTGCTATTAGAACTAAAGCTGTAAATATATGAAGGTGTTATCTAGAGTGGATATAGCTGAAATGGTAGTAATTCAGCTACTGTCAAATTGCCAGTAACAGCCCAACTTTGACAATTATCAACACTTTTCTGTGTAAGTTTTTTTGTTGTGGTGGTGGTTTTGGATTTTTTTTTTTGAAGGGGGTGTTGTTTTGTGTTTTGAGACAGGGTCTTACTCTGTCACCCAGGCTGGGCACAATCTTGGCTCACTGCAACCTGGCACAGGCTCACTGCAACCTGGCACTCTGTCACCCAGGCTGGGCACAATCTTGGCTCACTGCAACCTCCACCTCCCAGCTTCAAGCAATTCTCCAGCCTCAGCCTCCCAAGTAACCGGGACCACAGACGTGTGCCCCCATGCCCCGGCTAATTTTTGCATTTTTTTGTACAGACAGGGTTTCACCATGTTGCCCAGGTTGGTCTTGAACTCCAGAGCTCAAAGATCCGCCCACCTCGGTCTCCCAAAGTGCTAGGATTATAGGCATGAGCCACTGCACCTGGCCTCTGTGCAAGTTTTAATATCACACTGCTGTATATTTTTTACACAAATTGTCTGATACTGTGCTTAATGTTTGACATTTATTTTGTTCACTCAGCAATACACTCATTCAACAAGTATTTATTAAGTACTTAACATATGCTAGATACTATTTTAGGTACTGGGGATGTAAGAGACATTAAGAAAGACAAAAATCCCTTCCCTTCCCTCCCTTGGCCCAAGGCTAGGGGTACTTCTGCTGGAGATATCCTTCAGAGCTACCCTCTGTTCTATTTTCTCTAACAGTCCCCAAAGAAAATCTCCATCCCTATAGGAAGATTCAAAAAACCTGGGCAGAAGCAGCTACTGGACCCTTCTCCACATGGAAAAACAAAGCTTACATTCCAAAACAGACACTCAAAAAAGGGAGGAAAAAAAACATAATGTAATCACCCATTTTCAATCATGGCCTCTTAACCACTCCCCAGGAAACCTCTTCAAACATATGAAACATTTCCCTGGAAGAGAGTTCTATTAGAAAAACATCTACATTCCACCAAACCAAGTCTTCTGATCACTGTATGGTTCTAGATAATTCACTGCTCTTAAGTAACCAGAGGACAGCCTCAAGACTAATGAAGGTGCCTGCAGATGGCTCAGTAAGCTAGCCTCGTCGCATAATTTCCTTCCCCTCCCACTCCCTACTTATAAATTTAAATATTCAAAAAAGAAGGCGGGAGCTTATTCAAACAAAAACAGAATGATGAACAAATATCTCAAGTACATTTTGAAGATATACAATATATTAAATGTTGTTGAGGTTCAGAGTTATGATTACTGGGTACCATTTACTGTTTCCTATGGGACAGGCAACATGACAACTCTGGTCTGTGCATTAACTCATTCAATCCCAACACAGCCTCACTAGATATACATTATTCCCACCGGGTGCGGTGGTTCATGCCCGTAATTCCAGCACTTTCGGAGGCTAAAGCAGGCGGATCACTTGAAGTCAGGAGTTTGAGACCAGCCTGGCCAACATGGCAAAACCCCATCTCTACTAAAAATAAAAAAACTAGCTGAGTGTGGTGGTGCACCCCTGTAGTCCCAGCTACTCAGGAGGCTGAGGCAGGAGAATCACTTGAACCCGGGATGTGGAAATTGCAGTGAGGTGAGATTGTGCCACTGTACTCCAGCCTGGGCAACACAGCAAGACTCCAAAAAAAGGATATACATTATTCTCGTTTTGCAGATGAGAAAACTGAGAACAAAGTACATGTAAAATACCAAAGGGCACTATAGTGAATATATGCTGATTCTTTTCTACTCAGCATCCCCGGCTCCTTTGCATAACCACGCATCCCCCATCCCATGAGGTGCTGGTAATCACACTGCCCTGACCCCTTTGGGCACTCCAACAAAACCGATCACAATACTTCACCTCCAGGAAGACAAATGACCCAAAGCAGAGCCAAGTTAGAACCTTCCCTGGGATTGTATTAACCTAGATAAGGGAAGATAACCATTGGGCAGGGTGTGGTAGCCAGTTTCCAAAAATAGCACCCAATACCCCAGTCCTCTTGGACTTGTGTAGTTTCCTCTCAGGTGGAATTTGAGCAGCCCCAGAGCATGCATCAAACAATAGAATGCAGTCAAAGAGATCCTATGTTCCTCCTAGGATAACCCCTAAGAAAGCCTGGCAGCTTCCACTTTTGTGTTTTGGAAACCCTGAGCTACCATCGAGGCTGTCCTACTAGAAAGACCATGTAGCTCAGAGGTCAGCAAGCCTTTTCGAAATGGGCCAAACAGGAATTATTTTGGGCTTTGTAGGCCATTTGATCTCTATCACAACTACTCAAATGCTGTTGTGGGCTGGGCACAGTGGCTCATGCCTGTAATCCAAGCATTTTGGGAGGCCAAGGTGGGAGGATTTCTTGAGGCCAGGAGTTTAAGACCAGCCTAGGCAATCTCGCAAGATCCCATCTCTGCATAAAATTTAAAAATTAGCCGTTAACGGTGGCATGGGCCTGTAGTTCTAGCTACTGAGGAGGCTGAGACAGGAGGATTGCCTGAGCCCAGGAGTTGGAGGCTGCAGTGAGCTATGATTGTGCTGCTGCACTCCAGCCAGAATGAGACTTTGTCTCTAAAACAATAAATAAAATGAAATAAAATGCTGTTATAATGTGAAAGCAGCCATAGGCACTGTACAAACACATGGGTGTGGCTGTTCCAGTAAAACTTTGTTTACAAAATAGGCAACACAGGCTGTAGTTCCTTGACTTCTGATGTAGAGACCACATAGAGGTGCCATGTAGACAGCAAAAGGCCCTGAGACTTCATGAAGAGAGACAGGCCCAGCTGGGTCCAGTCTCCCAGCCAGGGCACCAAACAGTGAGTAAGCCCTCTCACACATTCCAGCCCAGGAGAGTCCCAGGTGATGGCAATCCTGGCCAATGTACTACAGAGCAGAGGAATTCCCAGCTGAGTCCAATCAACTTACACACACGAGAGGTAATACAATAACTTTTTTTTTTTTTTTTTAAAGACAGAGTCTCACTCATTGCCCAGGCTGGAGTGCAATGGTGAGATCTTGGCTCACTGCAACCTCCACCTCCCAGATTCAAATGATTCTCCTGCCTCAGCCTCCCAAGTAGCTGGGATTACAGGCGCCCACCACCACACTCAGTTAATTCTTGTATTTTTAGTAGAGACAAGGTTTCACCATGTTGGCCAGGCTGATCTCAAACTCCTGACCTCACGTGATCCGCTGCCTCAGTCTCCCAAAGTGCTGGGACTACAGGCATGAGCCACCGCGCCCAGCCACAATGACTATTGTTTTAAGTCACTAATATTTAGGGTGGTTGGTTGCACAGCAATGTTGTACAAGGCGGGGTTTCTCAAATTCAGCACTACTGGCATTGTGGGCTACATAATTCTGTGTTACAGGGGCTGCTTTGTGCGCTGTAAGGTGTTTGGCAGCATCTCTGGCCTCACCCATTAACTGACAGTAGGACCCTCCCCCCAACCTCACACACCACCATCCCCAGCCAGCTCTGACAACCGAAAACATCTAGGGGGCAAAGTCACCCACTGGTTGAAAAACACTAATGTGAGAGTATGAAACTGGGACACCAGCAGTCAACTGCCCCATCACATGGAAGTCAAGCAAAGTCAGAAACAGGGTGAAGGCAAGGCCGATATATGACTTCATAGGCCCTAGGTACTTTTGCCTTCCTCAGCCCCTTCCTCCATTAAAAACAAAAAAGAATTCGAAAATTATGTTTCATGGGGCCAGGCATGGTGGCTCAACGCCTGTAATCCCAAAGCTTTGGGAGGCTGAGGCAGGAAGACTGCTTAAAACCTGGAGTTTGAGACCAGCCTGGGTAACATAGTAAGACCCTATCTCTACAGAAAAAAGCAAAAATTAGCTGGGCATGGTTGTGTGAGCCTGTAGTCCCAGCCACCGAGGTAGAAGGACTGCTTGAGCCTAGAAGGTTGAAACTGCAATAAGCTGTGATATACCACTGCACTCCAGTCTGGGTAATAGAGCAAGACCTTGTCTCCAAAAAAAACAAAAATTTTATTCTATGACTACATTGGTATAAAGATGAATGTAATCCAGAATCATTATACATTATTACATTCATTTTCTCCTGTAATTTTAAAACAAATTAAAATTTAATTCAGTTAATTAAAACTAATTAAATTCATTAAAATTAAATATCACAGGTCCTAAGCACCGTGCCTACATTGCCTAATAGAAAGTCAGTCGTGAGTGAGTATAAGCATGAGGTCACAGGGTATTATTGAGGTTTCTGGAACCAGCTATGCCTAAAGTTAAAACTTAACTCATTCCTGGATTTCTCAGTTTCATGAGCCAATAAATTCACTCTTTTATTCACACAGGGTCTCACTCTGTCACCCAGACTGGAGTGCAATAGCACAATCATGGTTCATTAAGCCTTGACCTCTCGGGCTCCAGTGATCCTCCCACCTCAGCCTCCTGAGCAGCTGGGACCACAGGTGCAAGCCACCATACCCAGTTAATTTTTGTATTTTTTGTAGAGACAGGGTTTCACCATGTTGCCCAAGCTGGTCTTGAACTCCCGGGCTCAAGCGATTTGCCCACCTCGGCTTCCCAAAGGGCTGAGATTATAGGTATGAGTCACTGCACCTGTCCTAAATTCAGTCTTTGAATTGAGTTTGTCACTTGCAACCAAGTAGCCCAACTTACCTGGTCTCCCAGCTATAAGAGGTGCAGCCTGAACTTGAACCTGGATCTGTCTTATATAGAACCAGAGTTCTTACCCACTACTATCAACCAGTAACTCATTCTGCCTCAAGCATCTTTCTACTTTTCTCTCTCAGGACGGTTTTCAAGAAAAAGTTCCCCAAACTTACACTTCCGGACAAAGTTGCTCACATGCTTAATCTTCATCAGAGCAGGCTGACTGCATTCTTCAAAGAGAACAAAGAGGGCATCTAATATCCCTTCTCGGGAAAGAGGAGACATCTGCTGTTGAGTCATAAAGGGTGGTTTCCCCTAAAAACAGCAAACAGCAGATGGAGACACTGTCAATAATGAAAAGCTTTGATCAATAACATCCACACAGAGTAAATTACAAGCCACCAACTCAACTAACTGCTCACGACATGCTAACAGCACAATTCTGTGGCTTCATTCTTTAAAGCAGCGTCAACCGACAGTCATTATGGTATCACTTCCATGATTCCAGGACTGTGGGTTTCTTTCACCAGCACCTGGGAGGGAAAACGGCACAAGCATGGCCATTAACAAGAAAAGGTCCCTCACTCCTGAGGGTCTGAGGCTAGTGAGACTACTTCCTCTGGATCCTCTGGCTCTGACATGCTTCCATGTTTCTACAATAGGAAACATGGGTTTTTCACTTCTTTCACGTGTGCCCAGGGGTTTATTCATATAATTTCAGCTTTTTTAATTCATTTGAACAACCTAGAGTAATGAGAACTGAGTGACTATCATAAAGCCAAATTTACTCATGATCTGGAGAAATAGTTACAAACTGGCAGACTGTCTCTAGCCCACAGATATGTTTTGTTTGGCCTGTAGTGTTTAAGATAATTTGAATTATCTGCCAATATTTCAAAATCAGGAGATTCCACACAAAAAAATAAAAATGGAATCTCTGGCTTCTCTTGAAACACTGGCAGATCCGGCAACACTGCCTCGTCTTCCTGCCTCGCCTTCCTGCCTGATGACGCTGAGCTGGAGCTGAGTAATGCTGCCCCTCCCGGTAGCAGATGTGTTCGGGAGTTCACTGCAGGTCTGACTCCATCTTCCAACTGGCCCACCTAACTCATTTATACTCACTGCCCGGCCCCCAAAGACATGAGTCTGCAACCCTGGTGTAGAGCAGTGAGTCCCACGTGCCAGGCCATGAATAGTGTGGTCTCGCTGCAAAGATGGCCTCCAACAGTTCCTCCAATTCGGTAGGCACATGCTATTCCTTCCTTTAAGCGCTGGAGTCTATTTCTTCTATCTTTGTATCTGTGCCATCTCTGAGACTCTCTTCAACCAAAAGAATGTGACACAAGAGATACTGTGCCAGTTCAGGGCAGTGCCTTTAAGAAGCTTGTCAAGCGGCCGGGCATGGTGGCTCATGTCTGTCATCCCAGCACTTTGGGAGGCCAAGGCGGGTGGATCACTTAAAGTCAGGAGTTTGAGACTACCCTGGCCAACATGGTGAAACCCTGTCTCTACTAAAATACAAAAATTAGCCGGTCATGGTGGTGGGCACCTGTAATCCCAACCACTTGGGAGGCTGAGGCATGAGAATTGCTTGAACCCGGGAGTCGGAGGTTGTAGTGAGCCGAGATCATACCACCACACTCCAGCCTGGGCAACAAAGAAAGACTCCCTCTCAAAAAAAAAGCAGCTTTCCAGTTTCCACTCTTGGGAAGCCAGCCACCATGCAAAGATGCTTGGGCTAGACCAGGGGTGTACAATCTATAGCCCTTGGACCAAATCCAGCCCACGGACTTTTTATAAGTTTTACTGGAACACAGCCACATCCATCATTTACATATTGTCTTTAACTGCTTTTGTGCTACCATGGCCAAGTTGAGTGGTTGCAAGAGACTACAGGACCCACAAAGCCTAAAATATTTATTACTTACAAAAAAAGTTACAAGTCAGCCAGGAGCGGTGGCTCACGCCTGATATCCCAGCATTTTGGGAGGCCAAGGCAGGCGGCTCGCAAGGTCAGAAGTTGGAGACCCCCATGACCAACGTGGTGAAACCTCGTCTCTACTTAAAATGCAAAAATTGGCCGGGCATGGAGGTGAGCGCCTGTAATCCCAGCTATTCAGGAGGCTGGGGCAGGAGAATCGCTTGAACCCAAGAGGCAGAGGTTGCAGTGAGCAGAGATCATGCCACTGCACTCCAGCCTGGGCGACGGGTCGAGACTCCGTCTTAAAAAAAAAAAAAAAAGTTACGAGTCCTGGGCTACACTACTGAAAGACCTCATGGAGAAGAGAGGCCACGTAAGAAACACTAAGGTGCCCCAGCCAGCAGTCAGCACCCACATGTTCCAGTCCCAGACATACTCCCAGCTGAATGTAGCCCCACAAGTAACCCCAGCTGACATCACAGGATAAAGCAGAAGAACCACCTAGCTGAGTCCAGCCAATCCACAGAATCCTAAGAAAAATAAATCATTGTTGCTTTAAACGTCATGAGTGCTTTGTTACACAGCACTTGATAACAGAAACGGACTGCTGCATTTGAATCACAAGAGCACTGGAGAATTTAAGGAAAAAAAACAAACACACATTATCTGGTCCTATGCCTCCCCTCCGCCACAACCTATTGAATTAGAATTTTCCAGACTGTAGCCTGGGATCTGTTTTATTAACAAGTTCCCCAGCAGGGCGAGGTGGCTCCCACCTGGAATCCTAGCACTTTGGGAGGCCAAGGTGGGAGGATCACTTGAGCCCAGGAGTTCAAGACCAGCCGGGGCAATACAGCGAGACCCCATCTCTGCAAACAAACAAAAAAAATTAGCCAGGTGTAATGGCATGATCCTGTAGTCCTAGCCACTCGTGAGACTGAGGTAGGAGGATCACTGGAGCCCAAGAAGTCAAGGCTGTAGTGAGCCAAGATTGTGCTGCCACACTCCAGCCTGGGCAACGGAATGAGACCCTGGTCCCCAAGAGAGTCAGACCTTAGTCAGGTTTGGGAAGCACTGCATTCAAGGCCACCATATCTGTCACTTTAGTAATAGTTGCCACTAACTCAGGAAACTAAAACACTTTGTTTCTTGTATTCTTCAAGAGTTTAGACCAACGAAAGCAGGGGTTCCCAAATGCAGTACTGGGTCTTAACAAAGTTTTCAACAGCCTGCAGTGAAATGAGAAAAAATGAATGCCACATATCTTTTTTTATAAAACTAAATGTATTCAAATTTAAAAATGGTCCTTTATTCTGAGATGATGTTCTTCCTGTCTTGTTGTTTCTTAAAATGCCCTTTATGAAATAAAAGGGCAAGAAAATAATAGGTTTTTCTTTTTATTATTATTTTTTTAAATATCCTTACTTGGCAAAATAAGAAAACCTGTGTCTACCCAGCAATTTGGGAAATTTTGCTGGCTCTGAAAGTCTGACAATCACTGACCTCGAACATGTTAGGAAATCCTGTTGAGTAGAAGTAAAAGAGACAAAATGACACTCAGTGTAAAGTACTCACCTGAATGGGAAACAAAATTGCTACTGTATCTCAATCTCATTCAAACAGCACTATATGGGAAAAGAACAAACAGCATCCTTACCTGATCACTCAAGGCAAATGACAGGTATATAACACACTTGCAATAATAGCTTTACTGGGTGGGGGGAACTCAGCATTAAAAAGAGATGAACTGAGGGTTTACCTATAATTCTTCCTGTTATAATGATAAAATATAAGATATACTTAATAAACTCTGACGTGCACAGACGGTATGGCCCAATGGCTATGTGGTCAGCCTTTAGAGTCAGACCAACCAAAGATGGAGTCTGATCTTGGCTCCATCTGCAAAGCTCAACGTGTATGATCTTGGGCAAGGCCTTGTCTACCTCCATATATGTCTACATCTGTTGCTTCCTATTTATGTATTTATTTAGAAACAGGGCCTCCTTCTGTCACCCAGGCTGGAGTGCAGTGTCACAATCTCAGCTCACTGCAACCTCTGCCTCCGGGGCCCCAGCTATGCCCCCACCTCAGCCTCCTGAGTAGCTGGGACTACAGGCACACACCACCATGCCTGGCTAATTATTTATATTTTTTGTAGAGATGGGGTTTCACTATTTTGCCCAGGCTAGTCTTGAACTCTTGGATTCAAGCAATCCACCTGCCTCAGCCTCCTGAAGTACTGGGATTACAGGTGTGGGCCACCACACCTGGCCTGTTGTCTCCTAAATAAAAACTTTTTATTTAAAGTTTAAATAAAAATAGTCCTTACCTCTGTTATGAGGCTGAAGTGGGATACTCAGAAACATGCCAGTTCTATACCAGACACATTGGAAGCCGTAACTATTACATACTCAGCACATTATAAGCCCTTAATAAGTAAGTCGGAAATGTTTTGTTTTGTTTTTTTTTTTTAAGATACAAGGTCTTGCTCTGTCGCCCAGGCTGAAGTACAGTGGCACGATCTTAACTCACTGCAACCTCTGCTTCCAGGGCTCAAGCGATCCTCCCACCTCAGCCTCCCAAGTAGCTGGGACTACAGGCACCCGCCATCACAGTCAGCTATTTTTTGTGTTTTTACTAGAGAAGGGGTCTCACCATGTTGCCCAGGCTGGTCTCAAACTCCTGACCTCAAGCAATCCGCCCACCTCAGCCTCCCAAAGTGCAAGGATTACAGGCATGAGCCACTACGCCCAGCAAGTTAGAGATATTTTGAAATAGCATGATAAAGGGGCTGAAAAGTAGCAGCACTCCAGCCATATAAGGCTAAAGACAGACTATTCATTTGTAAAAAATATGTCAAGACTTAAAATGCTGATGGCGATGGTCCCACAGAACAACCTAAGCTTTCAATTTGTTTCTACTCTGATCTGTTTAAACACCCAATACTAATATTTTGGAAAAAAACAAAAAGTTATCAAGAATACTTCATTGTTCATCATCTTACAGGTATCCTACATAACTACCTTCCTAAACATAATTCCTATTAAGGAAACAGAAATTTAGTATTAATATTATAACTAATACTATTCTATGCTGAGTATTAACAATACTTACCATTTTTTATAAGGGGTTTACTAACAGCCAGGCAAGGTGCTAAATGCTTTATATGTAATATCTCGTTTAATCCTCACAACAACCCTGTGGATTAGGTACTACAACCTCTACGTTATTTTTTTGTTTTCTTTTGTTTTGTTTTGAGATGGAGTCTCACCCACTCTGCTGCCCAGGCTGGAGTGCAGTGGCACGATCTCAGCTCACTGCAACCTCCGCCTCCCGGGTCCAAACGATTCTCCTGCTTCAGCCTTTCAAGTAGCTGGGATTACAGGTGCATGAAACCACCACACCCAGCTAATTTTCTATATTTTTAGTAGAGATGGGGTTTCATTATGTTGGCCAGGCTGGTCTCGAACTCGTGACCTCAAGTAATCCACCCACCTCAGCCTCCCAAAATACTGGGATTACAGGCTACAACCTATTTTAAAGAACAGCAAATGGACTCAGAAAAGGTAACTGACTCACCCAGAGTAACACAGCTAACTAGTGCTGGGACTGGGATTCAATTCTAAATCTTCACGGTCTCTATTGTCCCCCTGACTTATGAATACATAAATCAAACAAGGATTTCTACTTCACCAGTGTTCCATATACATCAGAAACAAAAGAATTAAAAATCTATTTGGAAGTAATCTTATGACATTAAGTTTTAACACATCTGGGGTGACGGAAATGTGTTATCTTGAGAGGAATGAGGGTTAAACAGGTGTGATATTCATCAAAACTTTTTTTAAAATCTTAAAAAATAAACATCCCTGCAATGAAAATGAATAGGATGATACCCACAGAAATTGTAGTTTTAAAAAGCATCTTTGTTCATTTATTTTTCTTTCTCCAATAAAAGGGCAAACTTACCCTGGTGCAGTGACTTACGCCTGTAAGCCCAACACTTTCAGAGGCTGCGACAGGTGGATCACTTAAGCCCAGGAATTCGAGACCTGCCTGGGCAACATGGTGAAACCTCATCTCTACAAAAAATACAAAAATTAGCCAGGTGTGGTGGCACACACCTGTGGTCCCAGCTACTTGGAAAGCTGAAGTGGGAGGATCGCTTGAGCCCGGGAGGTCAAGGCTACAGTGAGCCGTGATTGTGCCAACGCACTCCAGCCTGAGCCACAGAGCAAGACCCTGTCAATCAATCAATTAATGAACTTTAGTACAGAAGTGTAAAGTGTGAGAAATATGAAAAGATCTCCCTCCTAAGGCAAGTTCAGCTATCTACTTCTGCACAGTGTCCTTTCTCCAAAATAATCAGTGCATATAAAACTCCAAATAGAAGGCCAGGTGCAGAGGCTCACACCTATAACCCCAGTGCTTTGGGAGGCCAAGGCAGGAGGCTCATTTGAAGTCAGGTGTTCAATATCAGCCTGGGCAACATAGTGAGACCCCATCCCTACAAAAAATTTAAAAATTAGCTGGGAGTGGTGGCACAGGCCTAGAATCGACAGAAGACCTTGTTTCAAGCAAAACAAAACAGAATTTCTCCTAAAATATTATCCTTGGTCCTATAATGAAAGCAAGCCTGGCGCATTTCATGCCTGTAATCCCAGCACTTTGGGAGGCCAAGGCAGGAGGATCACTTGAGGTCAGGAGTTTGACTCCAGCCTGGCCAACATGGTGAAACCCGTCTCTACTAAAAAAAAAAAAAAAAAAAAAAATACAAAACTTAGTCGGGTGTGGTGGCAGGCGCCTATAGTCCCAGCTACTCTGGAGGCGGAGGCAGGAAAATCACTTGAACCCAGGAGGCAGAGGTTGCAGTGAGCTGAGATTGCACCACTGTACTCCAGCCTGAGCGACAGAGTGAGACTCTAAATAAATAAATAAAATAAAAGCAAAGGTGAGTGACAAGGAGACTCCAAGGAAACACACAGGTGAGCAAAGTTGGCAGGGTAGGCTGTTACCTGGAAGAATAGATTCAGCCTGGAGGCCCGGCTGGCAATGGGTTCAGCAGCACCAGCATCCAAAGGATTCCGCGCTCCATATTTGAACTTTAACATCTCCCCACTGGTGCTGAAAGGATATCAGAAAAGTCAAGTATGTCCTATGTTTTGAGCAGGAAGGGCTTGAGAGATTCTGATCTCCCTCAAGGTATCAGGGATAAGGAGATGAAAATTAGCTACCACTCCAGTTTTAGGAAGCTCAGTCTAATCATGGAGATTAAACACCAGATTTCAACTCACCGTAACAGGAGGTGATACACTTATCTGACATACTCTCTTACTTATCAATGTGTCTATTATCTCCCCCCTTAGAATGGAAGCTCCACAAGGGCACAGACTTGGGGGCACACATAGCCTGGCACATAAATAGGTGTGAATAAATAGTTATTAAATGAATGACTGAAATAAGCAAACTATATATAGTTTGTTGGAAGGTGTTAAGTGCTACGAGGTAAAAACAAAACCAAGTAAGATAAGGGCAATGGGGGTGAGATGGTGCAATCTTAATGTGGTCAAGTAACACTTCACAGAGAAGACACCATTTGACCCAAGACTTGAAGACCTGAAGCGGGTGACCAGCAAGCCATGTTGATATCTGGGGAAAGAAAGATATCTGTGGCAAAGGAAACAGCCAAGCCAAAAGCACTGAGGCAGGACCTGGCCTCTCCAACAATAACAGAGAGGCCAGAAGGACTGGAGCAGAGCGAAAGAGGCGGGGGCATCAGGAGGTGGTGAGATAGGCACGAGGTATGAAGACACTGAAACAGAGAGGTTAAGAAAATTGCTATCACGCGGATAATAAGGAACTGGCTGACTACACTGGGCAGAATAAAGCAGTTAGTGCTGACAGGAGGCAGAGCTGAAGAGACATAGGGCTCCTCCTGGTTTAGGGGAGGAGCAAGCCTCCCGCCCCGGCACCACCCGGCAGACCCCTCGGCTCCTGAGGAGGGTGGGCGCGCGCACAGCCAGCCTGGGAAGACCCTCCAGGCCTCCCGCAGCCCTTAGGGGTGGAAGCACCGCCCTCCCCACGGCGGGAGGGAAAGCCGGGACTGGTGTGGGTGGAGGCGGCCTTCCCCTGGCCTTGCGGAGCAGGGTGCGGTAGAATTGGGTCTAGGGGCTCAGACTCACGCTCTGCGGCCCCGGCTCGTCTGCGATCTGCTCCGCCCCGCGCCTCCCGCCGCCGCGTTTGAACCAGAGGAACGGCGTGGGCGGGTCTCAGCCGTGTCTAGACCAATCAGCGTGCCCGCTCCTATGATAGACATGGGTTTCTCAGCCAGGCCCCGCCCACGTCCTTAAAGTGATGGAGAAAGTGAAAAGGAGAGCCAATCAAATTGCATCTTCCTTTGACTCGCGACCAATGGGATAAAGGGAAGGGCAAAGTCGGCTGGGCAGGTCTTGAAGTTTGAAATTGGCGGTTAAGCAGGATGCTGCGTTTGGGGACGCGACTGTTTATCTAGGATCCCTGAGGAAGTCGCCTGGGCGCTGTCCCCTGCTCTCGGCCACCTGCGAGGAGGTAGGTAGCCAGGCTACTCAGCCTGGTCTTCTTTCTCTCTCATGCGGCTAAGGTAGAAGTACTTGTCACCTGGGGAAACCCAATGGTTCTCTGCTACAGCTGAGGTGGCGAATGTTTTGAGGTTGACTTCAACCTACATTGATTACTCTATCTCCCGGCTGACTGCCCTGCAAGGAGTTGATGAAAGTCATTGAGGCTGTCTGAAAGGACACTTTAAATTATAGAAGAGATACTTAAAACAGGCACTTCACCAAAACGGAAATCCAGATGACCAACAAATGTATGAAAGGTGTCAACCTCGTTCATAATCAGAAAAAATGAAAAATAAAGTCACAATGAGAAACAATAACACTCAAATTCGAGAACAACAACAAAAAAAGGATGTGACAGTGTTTGCAAAGATGTGGAGGTACACACATTTATACAGTACCCGTAGACGTGTAAATGGACACAATCTCTGAAATTTAAAAAAAACAAAGTATGGCACTATTTGCTAACATTGAAGATTTGTGCGTTCTATGACTATTGCTAGGAGTAGTTTCTCTACCTAAGAAAAACTCCTATTTATTTATTTATTTATTTATTTTGAGGCGAAGTGTTGCTCTGTCTCCCAGGCTGGAGTGCAATGGCACGATCTCGCCTCACTGCAACCTCCGCCTCCCAGGTTCAAGCTATTCTCTTGTCTCACCCTTCCAAGTAACTGAGATTACAGGCGCACACCACCATGCCCAATTGTTTGTATTTTTAGTAAAGATGGGGTTTCACCATGTTGGCCAGGCTGGTCTTGAACTCCTGACCTCAAGTGATCCGCCCACCTCGGCCTCCCAAAGTGCTGAGATTACAGGCCTTAGCCACCGCTCCCAGTGAGAAACTCCTACTTATGTACACCAAGAGATGTGTATAAGAATACAAAATAGTGTTGGCAAAAAACTGGAAGCGACATAAATGTCCATCAGCAGTAGAAAAGACAAAATTGTATATTGCAGTGTTTTCATAAACAATGAACAAGAATAAACTGCAACTAACCACAATGGCATAATGAGTCTCAAAACAAGGCCTAATGAAGGAAGCAAGACAATGACATATGATTCCATTCATATAAATTCCAAAAGCGGACAAAACAAAACAACATAGTTTAAGGAGGGATGTATTTAGGTTGATGCAAATCATTGAGGTTTTTGCCATTTTTAAAAGTAATGGCAAACCCATAAAGAAAGCAAATAGTAGTTACCTGATGGAGGCCTTTCAGCGTGTTGGGGTGCTGCTATGATCTATTTCTTAACCTAGGTAGCAACAATATGGATGTGGTTTTATAATGATTAAATTGTGTGTATAATTGTGCACACGTGTGTATGTGTATGTTCTGTTTATAAATGTAAAGTCTTTTTCGTACTCTCCTAATTCTATAGTAGACAGAACTGGAGATGTGTTCTCTCACAACTCACACACACACACACACACGCACACCAGCACTTGATTAAAGCTAAGCTATAGGCTTGCTTAGTACACATTTGTTTGTTTGTTTTTCCTTCCCTAAACATAACTTACTTCTTGTTCCCGGGGCCAATAATGGATAGCTACTATTTATCAAGCACCCCTTTTTTTTTTTTTTTTCTTAGACAGAATCTCACTCTGTCACTCCACCCAGGCTGGAGTTCAGTGGCACAATCACGACTTACTGCAGCTTCCACCTCTCCAGGCTCAAGTGATCATCCCACCTCAGCCCTCCCAGTAGCTGGAACCACAGGCATGTACCACCATGCCTGGCTAATTTTTTTTTTTTTTTTTTTTGTAGAGATGGAGTCTCCCTGTGTTGCCCAAGCTGATCTCAAACTCCTGGACTCAAGCAATCATCCTGTCCAACCTCCCAAAGTGCTGGGATTAAGGTGTGAGCTACTGCACCCAGCCCAGAAACTTCTGTATAAAGAAAATAACTGACCGGACCCAATGGCTCATGCCTGTAATCCCAACATTTTGGGAGGCCAAGGTGGGCGGATCACTTGAGGTCAGAAATTTGAGACCACCCCGGCCAATGTGGTGAAACCCCATCTCTACTAAAAATACAAAAATTAGTCTGGCATGGTGGCAAACACCTGTAATCCCAGCTACTCAGGAGGGTAAGACAGGAGAATCACTTGAACCTGAGAGGTGGAGGTTGCAGTGAGCCGAGATGTTGCTCACCACTGCACTCCAGTCTGGGTGAGAGAGTGAGACTCTGTCTTAAAAAAAAAAAAAAAAAAATTATCATTAGCTGACTGAGCTGAGAGCTTTCTAGGTGCGAGCCATATTCCTTCAATAGCCCCTGAAGTAGGCACTATTATTAGCATCTGCCTCTATGGAAAGGAACCACTCTCATGCTGGCTCAGATGCAAATATCTCAGATATTCCTTGTTTCCCAAAGATGTGTTCCCACAACTGATATGAGCAACACTTTCAGGTGGCAAACAAAAGTCACTTATTTGTTACATTATATATTTTACTATGTGTTAGGAAAAACTATAGCTAGCCCATCAAACCAAGTATTTTATAGATGATACCACTTGGAGTGAGACCAAAGGAAATATTTAAGAAGAAAAAATGAGCCAGTAAATGAAATACTAAGTAATCACTAGTACAGGTTGCACATGGGTGTAGCTTTAGACCAAATCTTGAAATTTCGGAAACACTGCATCATTTGACATAATTCTCAAGCAAGTCTCTGAAGTAAGCACTATTGTTAGCAACCCCATTTTACCAGCAGAGAAATTCAAGCTTAGTAAACAGTGGAGCCAGGACCTGAAATTTCATTCTAAAGCCCATTTTGATAACCATCAAACTGTATCGACTTATGTTTATCCCAGCACCTAGCACATAATATTTATAAATATTTGTGGACTAAATGATGAACTCTAACTCCATGTCTATTTGATTACAGTTTAATTACTTCTTTCCAGCCTACCAACAATCAACTTTGTAGGCTCTCCATAGAAGTGTATTAAATTTACAAATGAATTGCCTTCTGATTCTACACACTACTTATTATACCTTCTCAGGGTGCAGGTATTCCAGAAGCAGTGGTTCACAACTTTGCATTCACATTGAGATCACCTGGGAAGCTTTAAAAGACCATTGACACCTGGGCCCCATCCTCGGAGATGCTCTTTTCATTGTTCCAGAATCAAGCCTAGGAATTGGGAGTTGGTCAAGCTGCCCAAGTGATCCGTTTGGCTGTGTCCCCACCCAAATCTTATCTTGAATTCCCACCTGTTGTGGGAGGGACGGAGTGGGAGACAGTCGAATCATGGTGGCAGGTCTTTCCTGTGCTGCTCTCGTGATAGTGAATAAGTCTTACGAGATCTGATGGTTTTATAAGGGGGGGAGAGTCCCTGCACAAGCTCTCTTCTCTTGTCTGCCGCCATCCACGTAAGATGTGAGTTGCTCCTCCTTGCCTTCTGCCATGATTGTGAGGCTTCCCCAGCCATGTGGAACTGCAAGTCCATTAAACTTCTTTCTTTTGTAAATGCCCGGTCTCAGGTATGTCCTTATCAGCAGTGTGAAAACAGACTAATACACCAAGTGATCCCACTGTGCAGCCAATGTCATGAACTACTTGCCTAGAAAGGGCAAATATACTACTAACTAAATGTCAAACTGTATTTTTCATTGTAATTTAACAAATTGACAATGTGACTTTATTATCAGTCTTTGTTAACAAGAGTCTGCCCCTATGGAGAGGACCCACTCTCACGCTGGCTCAGATGTAAAGTGGAGACCTCAGTCCTTGCTCTGTGATCTTCCAGTCCTTGCTCTGTGATCCACCACAGTGAAACCAAAGAGAGTGATGGCTAAGTAATTTAACAGAAGGAGACCAGGGAGTAAGGGTTATGTTCAGCTTAAGTAAGGATTGAATTCTAAAATAAGTGTTTCGTGTTTTCATATTTGGAGCCTTAAGTGAAGATGGGTATACAAAAGGAAGAGATTCCCAAGCAGTATACACAAGCAAAAGACATGCAACTTGGTTTCCTCTCCTCTTTCTTCTCTCCTTTTCTCTTCTTTCCCCTCACTTTCTCTCATCCCAATGGGGTTCCATTTGAGGTTTTAAACTGAAATGGAGGCCAGGCATGGTGGCTCAGCCTGTAATCCTGGCATTTTGGGAAGCCAAGGCATAAGGATCACCTGAGGTTGGTCAGGAGTTCAAGATCAACTTGGCCAAAATGGTGAAACCCCGTCTCTACTAAAAATGTAAAAAAATCGGCCAGGCGGGGTGGCACACACCTATAATCCCAGCTACTCAGGAGGCTGAGGCAAGAGAATCACTTGAACCCAGGAGGCAGAGGTTGCAGTGAGCCAAGATCTCACCATTGCACTCCAGCCTGGGTGACATTTTTATTTTATTTTTATTTTTAAAATAAAATTAAACATTAAACTTAAAAATTAAAATTAAACTGAAATGGAAATCAAATTCTAGACACTTGATCTTCTTTCTAGCCTGGCAACAGTAAACTTTGTAGGCTCTCAGTAAAAGTTTATTGAATTCACATACAATTTATATGATTTTATTGAATTCACATACAATGTATATGAATTTATTGTTCATATACAAACTTCTGATTCTACACACATCATTTAACCTCTTTGACCTCTTTGAGCCTAAATTTATGCCTAGCTATTGTGAGATTTAGAAGCTAAGAGATGTGA